TGTGGATGGACTTTCCCTTGCTTTTACTCATAGCACAAAGACAGTTTTCATCCTCTCCTGCATTTGAAACTGTTTATCTTTTTGTTTGTTTGTTTTGGTCCCTAGCATACAGCTAGCACACGTTCATGTGTTCCCACAAGCTCTTCGAAGTAGTTTTTCTGCTGGGTGAGGAAAGTAGAATTTAAACGGTTCTTACCCAGTACATCAAGGAGAGATGTGGTACTTATGGCACTTTGCCAAGGTCTGACTACTGCTGTATACCCAAAAGTAATGTTAATATTAATTAAGTTTTGTCTATGGGTCATGGGCTGCAGATGCTACTCAGTGATTCCTGTGCGTTTCTGGTGACTAATGTGTACAAGTATTTTGCTACAGTCTAGACAGAGCAAAGGTTTTAGAGTTTTTACTAATATTTTATTTAATTACAGTATTTTATATACTGCAAAACAGTATGCAAAGGAAAATACAAAACGTCATACTTTTGCTGTCCACATCTGAAATTTTACAGACCTGCCTGTGGTCAGTGCCATACAATTGCAAAGTAGCATCATTACTTTGATATTTTGTCAGGTTTTGCATCAGAAAATTTTAGGAAAGTCGTCAGCCATGCAGGGTGGTTACTTGGTAGGATGCGTATTGAGTGTGTGAGATACCAATCTCTTAGTTGTCCTTCTGTTTATAAACTTCTGGCTTTGTTTTTTGATTACAGGAAAAGGATCTATTTCTGTGTAGTAAATTAGAGGTTTTGCTTCTCTTTTTCGACCAAGTTAGTTCTGAATAGCAAAATATATATATATATATAAAAATCTCCAGAGTACTTGTAAATATCTTTGATTCAACAATTTACTAAAACTTGCTTTCTCTCAGCTGTATTTCTGTACTGGCATAGCTTCTGTAAAGTTTTCTTGTCTGTGTTTGAACATTGTGTTTAGAATAGCAACAGCCAAGCTTAAAATGAACCTGTTTCAAATAGATATGCTTCACACTAGTTTTCAATTAAGTAGCAAAACCTTGCAATAGTGCATGGTCAACTTTGCCAAATTCATGCCTTATTAGGAAGGATCGCGATGCTTACCCTAGGATTACCAAAGATGAATAGGAACATTTTGAAATATTGCAACCAGGTGGTAACTTTAGGAAGCTGGACTTCGAGTCTAATGTGTCAATAGTATCGTGTCAGCACCCGATCAAATCTGAATTGCTAGAAATCTGTTTTTCCTAATAAAGGACGAATATAAGATGTTAACAGTTACATGCAATATAAGATTTTGTAGGTGACAAAGGTAACTTGTATGTAAAAGTCCATGACAACGTAAAAAAAGCTCAAATTTTAATGCTTGCAACATAGATTATATGTTACTTCTTTTTATGCACATCTTTGATGTAATTGTGGCTAAAACTAGTTACCTTTACAACGTGCTCTTCTAGCTGTCATATAGCTAGCTTCCAGCTGTAACTGCACAGACGGGAGAAAGATCAGCAATATTTCAGGGATAACTGCAGAAGCAACCAGGAACAAACTGCCGTCAAATGCACAAAGCATGCCGTGGTATATGTCTCCATAATGTGTTAGTTTTTGGAAACCCAAACTGCTGAAATCCCAAGTGTTGTGGTAAAAATTACAAAGAGATGCAGTTTTTGTACCCTTGAAACTGAAGGAATGTAGGAAGTGTAAGCCCTCAAAGGCATGTGGTATTTCTTAAAATAGCTTGCTGGTTGCTCCTCAGATTTGGAGTGTGTGTGCATGTGTAGCAGTCTCACCATACTCAGGAGTTTTCTTTACAAGATGCACAGAGAAAGTGAAATACAATCGTTTCCTTATGTTCCCAGAGGGGGAAGTACTAGATTTCAAATCTTTTCTATGTGTTTGTGGTTGAATCTAATAAATCAGGAATTTTAATTGTTGTCTTTAATCTATAGTAAGTGTTTGGAATAGTGTTTATTGAGAAGTGATTTGAGTATTTTGCTCTTAAAAGAGCTTGAAGTTTACAGCAATGTACTCTTTATGAGGGAGGCACTTTAATATAAACCAGATGAAAGCATGATTATTTTAATAGCAATCTTTAAAGTTTCCATTATGTTCTCATTGCTTACTCTGACTGAATGTGGAAATTTATTGGAAAGCTTAACTCACCTACTATCCCATTTTTAGACTTGTTCAGTAATTGTATTCCTGTGTTTATTTTTTGAGTAAGCAGTGCGTGAAAATAATTTTGTCATTCAACTCCAGAGTCTTAGATGGTTTGTATAAACAGCTTGAGCATCATATAAATAATGCTTAAAGCCAACACTTAGTGTATATCTGAAACAATACTGGACTAGTAAATCATGCGTTGCTATTCCCCTCCCATTATTCCATAATGTAGGCATAACGATTCCATAACATGTATGCAGTGTAATCTTTAGCATATCTGTAACAAATTCAACACTTCTGGGATGCATTAAGCAACTGCGTATGCATAAAATAAAGGTTTCAAGTGCGCGCAGTAAATTTGCGTGGTTTAGCAGTGCTGGACTAACTGCGTGTGCTTGGTGCAGGTTTTCTGCGTGTGTGTTGGAGGCACAGCCCTCCTGAGGTGCCAAACCCACGGCATGAGCACAGAATCATTGTTTTGCATATATACAACGTATCTGATGTGTGTGGTGTCATTTGGGATTACTGCTTAAGGAAGTTAGGGAACAGGGTGGAGGAAGATGTCAGTTTACAGGAAGTTGTAGCTACTTTCAGATCAGTTTAAAAATGGTCTTCCCCCAGCCCAGGGAACAGCCTTGGTCAGTGAAATATGTATAGTTCACAGGCTGCAGATTGATCAACCCTAATTTAGAGCTCATAGTGCTACCTTGCAATTAGACAGCACAGATATTTAAATTGAACCAAAATACCACTGGGGTTCACACATAGGTCGAGAGGTCCAAGCTGTACTGTTTAAAAGGTACAGTAAGTGCATAGTACAATTATCCTGTGGTCCTATGAATTAAATTTTGTACTTTAATAAGGTTAAGTATTTATATTCTCTTTTGAAAATTGTACCTGCGTTTTAAAATTCACAGAGTGGTTGAGGTTGGAAGGGACCTCTGGGGGTTATCTTGCAACCCTCCTGCACAAGTAGGGCCACCTAGAGCTGGTTGCCCAAGACCGTGTCCAGATGGCTTTTGAGTATCTCCAGGAATGGAGACACTACAGCTTCTTTTTGACAAGAATTTGTATTTGTAGTATTTCCCCCTGAAAAATTTCTAATGTAAAAACATTAATACTGATAGAAAACAGAAGTCTGTCTAGCCTAGTATCCTGTCTTCAATAGTTTCTGTAAACAGATGCATAAGGAAGAACAGGGCATTCACATGACTGCTTCCAGTTTTCTGAGCCTTCAATGTTTTTCATCGTGAGATCACGCTGAGCCGTATTTGGTTCCTGTTGAACTAGCAAGCACTAACAAGTTTCTTTTCTCTGTATTTATCTAATACCCTTTTGAACTTTTTAACGTTCTTTGACATGAATATTTTGTACACGTGCAGATAATTTTTGCATATTCAGTATGTACATTGGTAAGCAGGAAACAAATTTACTGAATGGAAAACAATCTTCTTTTCTCTGTTTTGAGTTATACTCCTCATGTTTTGAAAACTCTTGCACCATAGTTACATCACACGAGACTGCAAACAGTCCCTTCCATTTTCACCTTGTTTGAGCTGTTCTTGCTGATTTATACCTCCTTGGATATTTAGTTACTCAGAAACATGCAGTGTATTTTGTAGTGCAGTTTTCAGAGGGTTTTTTTTTGGGGAAAAATCTTATTTTAACCTTACAGTGGTAAATTTCTTTCAAAGCAGCGCTGACTAGTTACTTGCTTTTTTTTTTAAAGCCTAAATTGTACAGGTCTGTCATTGAAGATGTCATCAATGATGTCAGAGAAGTTTTTCTGGATGAAGGAGTGGATGAACAAGTTCTTATGGAACTCAAAACAGTAAGTGGCAACTTAAAAGTTCTTTTTAATGGACCAATACAGCAATTGGTTTTCAGATCTGCTTACTGTTGTATGCAATAAAAATACTAATTTGTAGTTAGCTAAGTGTTGTATTAATCTGCGTATCTGTAGCCCCATATCATTTGAATTACACTGCTGTATAGAGAAATCTGCTCACCTTGTTTACTTTCCCTAATCTGGCATGCCAAACTTGACGTAAACTAACAGCAGGCATCCAAATTCACAGTGTTATTTTGGTCCCTGAAAGGTTACATCTTTAAAAAAGAAAGGGGAGAATATGTTTGTTTTGGAGGCAGACAATTCTGAAGGTTTCTCTGCAGGAAAAATAAAATGCCTGCTCTGCTTGATGTTTTTGTCTTTCTGAAGAAGAGGAGTTGCATTGTTGAATGCATTGTCAGATTTTTGCATGTATGGTTTGTGGTTTGCAGAAGTATTGTTTTTGGGGAGTGCTACATAATAAATTGCGCTGTGTGGATCACACTTTTCTGAAGCTCTCAGATTCAGATCTTCAAAAGGCAGGAGAAAAGGTGGGAGGGGCGGCCGGCGGCGGAACCAGAAGAAATGAAGTGAAAGGAAACTGGGAAAGTAGGTGTCTTGTTATTTCAGCTGTTGAACAAGGATTTCTTTAGGAAGCAGGATGTCCCGCACTCTCAGTATTTTTGAAATATTAAAAAATGAATGGAGTGGGAAAGGAATTTTGAGTTTGTCTAGACAGAAACAGATGAAGACTTTTCCATGAAACCGTGACCTGGCTTGGTGGAAACAGAGTGAGCCCTGTAAGAAAAGCACCTTGGTGTTTGTGTCACAAACATGTTCTGCAAATGATGTCAAAACAGATTGAATGAGGAAAGAGACAAGAAGGAGAATGAAGTATTGAAGAGGAAGGCTTAGGGAGCCCTTAGCAGGATTTGAAATCAAGAGTCCTGGGTGCCTGTACTCTTTTTGACTCTGATGTATTACAGAATACTTGTGTTGCTGTCTTTTAGCAAGAGCTGCTTTTTTTGCATCTATAGCTTTTCTTGGGAGACGTGTCAGCTGACATTAAGAACTGAATGGCTAGGAAAGCTGAATTTGATATTGTGGTAGAAGCTGTGTAAATGCTTGTACGAAGGCATTGCCTTAGGTATACTGGTAGTTCCTGTTAAAGTGTGTTACAAGGCAGTAGTCTTGAAGCAACTTTTATTGAGCAGTTCCAAGAAGCAATGGCTTGAAGAAAGCTGTGATAAAGAATTATTTTTGTGATTAAAGAGGTAAGAAAGAAAGTAGAGAAGTGAAAACATGAAGGCTAATTTAAAGTTACCAGTTGATCTCAATGCACGCATTGTTATGAATCTTCCACACTTGGAAGAAAGAAAGAATGTTAAAGCTTAAGCTTGGACTGACAATTCTTAAGGGATATTTAATTCCTCTTCTTAAAACATTACCTCTGTTTAGTTCCCTCTTCAGTCTGTATTTGCCTAAGGGCTTTTTGGGCTAAGTAGACTGCACAAGATAAACAGTGAAAACAAATGTGATTTTGGAGTACTGTCTTTATATTGTTACAAATCTTGTTGACTAAAAATCATACAGAGATGTCTCTTTCCTTTTCCAAACTAGCTGTGGGAGAACAAGCTGATGCAGTCCAAGGCTGTAGATGGCTTCCATTCCGAAGAGCAGCAGCTTTTGTTGCAGGTGCAACAGCAGCAACAGCAGCAGCAGCAACAGCAGCATCATCACCACCACCATCACGCACAACCTCAGCCACAGCAGACTGTGCAGCAGCAGTCTCAGCCACAACAGGTCCTTATTCCAGCATCTCAGCAAGGTCAGACTTACTCTCCAATCTTTCTGGCAAAAGGCGCTCAAGTTAGACCAACTCTGTAGCATATTTTAAATCTAGGGCAGGATGTTTGTCTGATGGATAACTTTGTGTCTTTATGTTAAACTTTGTCACTACTTGCCTCTACTTAATGGGACAAGAGAGCTGTCTTGGTGAAAAATATCTTGGTATTTGTGTTAGTCATATTCTTCAGAAGATTTTGGAAAAGCTGAATTTTTCTCTTGGTCTTCTAGTACGTAACTTCAGAATACATGACTCTCAGATTCTGTTAAAAATCTGTTAGCAACTCTGTAATGTCAAGCCAGTATACATATGCAGTTAACAATTTAGTCATGAGGTAGTAATGTCATTAGGAGCAAATTAATTTAAAAAAATGTATTGTTGTTTAGTATAAGTGGATGCTAGGATATGAAAAATACTTGTATAACAGTCTGAGTATATGTAGGAGATGGTTTTTCATTTTAGAACAAGTTTGACGTGAAAAGCGTAATGGATGGGTATTTTTGTGGTCTTAAAAGATTGCACACTGTGTAGGTATGGATGTTCAAGGTATATTTTAGCTAGCCATAACAGTATAGTTTCTTGTAATTATTGTCTTGTGTATTCTCCATAAATAATTTAAGGGAAACATTTTCACCTATTACAATTTCATTTGAAAACTACGATAAATACTATTGGATTTTACTGCATATATGCTGTGTAAACAAATCTGCAACCTGTGAAATGCTTGAGTTGAGTTTTCAATGTGCAATTAAAATTGTGGCATAAAATTTTTATCTGTTGTAGTCAGTCACAGACTTCAGTCTTTTTATCAGATTTCGTGGATCAGAACCTAATTTATCATAGGCAGAAAAGATAGCTTTGAGTTGATTCCCCCCCATCCCCTCCAAAAAAAACCCCAAACTGAATCACGATATATTCAAAACAGAAGAGAACTAGAGCGACAAGAACCTGTTGTTGGGCTTAAATCAGTTTCAACTGTTGTGTTAAAATTCACTTTGAGATTAAGACCCCTAAATACACACGGCTTCAAATGATCTGGGTGTCTCAGCTTAAGTTAGTTGGCCGAGCTTGGAAAGTCTATGCACCAAGACCTCTAGTGACTCCTTAACTGAATAGCTGTGACTACTGACCAGGTTTCCCTCCACTAATATGGAGGTCCCTGTCCTCCTGTTTGTGCCTTAGGGTAGAATTAAAGATCCTGCCCATAGTAATACACTTAAAACTGATTTATTGTTGTCCAATATTCTGGCTTATGACCAAATGACAGTGCAGAGGCTAAATGAAATTAGGATATCAAAGCACTTTAGTCACAGGATTTTATGAGTTACTTGACTTCCCTGTTCCATGGGGGAGATGGTGTAGTAGTTCCTTGCGTGATCTCGTGCAGCCCCAGAGAGAGATCAGGATGACTGATGTCGTGATTCCCACTGTCCTGTATGTGGTCCTGGCGCACAGTCAAGAGATTTCGATTCCCACTGTCCTGTATGTGGTCCTGGCATACAGTCAAGACTCTTTGACTCTTCTGCCCTCCCTGGGTTCTCTGAAAGTTGGAGAGATGGCCTCAAATCTTGGTGCAAGGTTGTGGGGCTTCTCTCCCCAGAATCTTTTCCAGAAACTCTCAGTTATCCCTAGTATTCTTAAGTGTCCTTGGTTATAGGATTGGATGGAGAATACCTTGTCAATGATTGGTTTGTTCAAATTGCTCTGTCATTTTCCAGTTAGCACTGGCAACCTTCTTGTTCCATAGACTTGAACACTTTTGCACTTCTAGATTATCAGCCGTTTTTTTGCGTAGTTTAGCTATCTATTTTCTTTATTGCACCAAAACTATTTTGTTGATTTGGACGGGTGGTTGATCATATTTCATCTGCTTCTGCTACATTAGAAAGACAGTGAAGATCACGAGCTTATGCTAGCAGTTATGCTAACTAGACCTAACTCAAGCTAACTGCTGCATCTTGTTAACTTACTCTTCATCTTGCAACAGTCCTGACTTAAGTCTTAAAACAGACTTAACCACTGTCAATCAATGTTTTTGGAGAACTCTGATACTGGATATCAGCAAGTTTATCAAGATTTCACTAGTACTTTTAATTTCAGAAAAGTATTTTAAATCTTGCTTTACCTAGGGTCAGAATAGGTAACTGAAACCCTTGAAATAAGATCTGTAAAGCCAAAGTAGTCATATCGCCTCTCCGAGCTGCTGTTGTATATTGTCTTGAGAGTAAAACTTAACAAGATCAGAGACTGCTCAGTAGCTGTTTTCATTAAAAAGCTTAGCTGGTGTTTGGGTGACGTTCTTTCTAAATTATTCTGTCTTGGATGTTATTTTGGGCAGACTGTTGTAGTTTTCATCAAATGCTATTTTTTTGTTTCTAGCACCTCAGCAGCAGGTTATTGTGCCAGATTCCAAGCTGATACCGCACATGAATGCATCGGGCATGGTAAGAAAAGCAGAAGTTTATACATGCATACACTGTCATTATGTAAGTTTGTTTGATTAAATAGTAAACACAAATCTGGTATTCGTCATCAGATGCTTAAAAGTAATTAAGGACATGCTGGTAAAGCTGTCTGCCATATTTCTGAGTTTTGCTGCTACACTGACAATCTAGCAACAGTAATCCAGGACTTCTGTTTTGATAACAAATCTAGGAGTTAGCTTGATCCTCTGCTTTAAATGTGTTTAACGGAAACTTTTTTTTTTTTACTCAGAAATTGGAGTACTGGTGGTATGAATCTGCATGATGATGTGCTTGTCATAAACCAACACAACACTGTTAACTGATGCAAGCATACTGTATTTGCGAGATGCAGGAAAAAACATTAACCACTCTGAAACTTAAGCTTATATCAAATGAGAGATTATTTAGCAATTCACAGCAGTGTTTTCTGGTCACATTAATTTGATTCACTAATTTTTAATAGCATATAAAACTGAGTGTGGTCATTTACCTTTTTCTTGCAGTTTTTATCTCTAGAGGTTAATTTTTTGTTATCTTGCTTTAAACGCCCTGGCTTAATTAAAAAAAAAAAGTTTGCAAAGCAATGAAAACAACAGCTAATACAAGTTAAATAGGTGTATTAAGACCAGAATTCATTACATTCTTACTACTTTTACCATAAAAGCACATGAAACAAAGTTTCACAACTAGTCAAAGCTGAAGCAGCTTCCTTAGCCTTCACTTCTCCATTATCTGCCGATCTTACTATAGTAAAGAACCTGAACTTTGTTACTCAAATAGTGTGATTTATGCAGAGGCTGAGAGCGCATTAACATCTACCTTTGTCTACATGTTTTACACCATTTCAGTGTGATTTGTAACTTCTCAAGCCCAACAGTTAAACGTTCTTTTTTTTTTTCTCATTCAGTTAGATCTTGTTCATGGGTATTGCAAAAATAAGTATGCCATATTTTTAAAACTCTGGTGCTGTCAAAGTGTAGATGAATTGTATACCGCAGAAGACTACTGTTTAGTAAACAGTTACAGAATCAATTTGGAATTATTGTGCGTGTTTATTAGAAACATTTGAGTTGGTATTAAAGAATGGATCTGACAGACCTTGAATAGCTTGGAAGGCAGAGAATAATGAGAGTTGATTCATCTGCCTTTGTCTGGGACATGAGGATGCAGACAAGCACTGCTCAGTTTTGCTTCATGATCTGTAATTTTGGCAGTTGTAACTACTACTTTGGTAAGCCGATAAGGGGAGATCATATTTCTTATAAATGGGAGGTGTGCAGTCTACCCAGTAATAAAGTTTAAATCATTTCAGTAGCAGAGTAATTGGACATGGTTCCTTTATAATGGGAAAAGGGAGGCCTTTCCATAGGTCGCTGAAGTTAGACTCTTGAAATGGAGAGGCTTCTGCAGAAGTCCATCTCCTGCGAGTTAAGGACTTAATGCAGATTTTTGTGTTTGGAGCTTCCATAATTGTGTTGGAATCCAGTTTCCTTGTAAGTTCAAATCATTACTCATTGAGAGTCTTCAGCTTTCTCTTCTAACCAGCTGTCTTGAGAGAAAAAAAATTAGTCATTCTGTGAACAGTCAGTACACTGTATGTGTATATTCACTCAAAAGAGCTGTATTATGCAGGACTTGAAATGCAAATCGTTTACAGAATGAAGAAAAGTGCAAACTTGATTACTAATCCTTGTGAAAACAAGACAGGCGAACATGATCATTGCTTCAGTACCTTATGTTTCTTCAGATTTGTAGGCTGGTATCTTTAGCTGCTTTGAAAAAGTGCAAGTAAAATTGCCACATGAGCAATGCAGTGTTGTACTCTTAGTAGGTCAGCAGAGAAGGCAGAGGAGAAGAAAAATCTGCTGAGCTTGCAGATTAACTAAGAAACCATGTGGAGCTGGGTTAAGGTGTGATGCTTAGTGATTATTGGTTCAGTCTCTTTCCTGTTAAGAAGGAAAACAGTTTTTATGTGTAGTATAACGTACAACTGATTACTGCCTGCATTTCAATGACTGCAGAAACTTGTGTGCAAACATTGTAAACAGCAATAAAAAGGTACGTATTTTCAGGCAGTGTGTTGTGAGATAAAACACTGGCAATAACATCTGTGGTTAAAAACCCTTTCTTGTATTTCAGAGTGCTGCAGCCACTGCAGCTACGTTGGCTCTCCCTGCTGGCGTTACTCCTGTTCAGCAAATACTTACAAATTCAGGTAACTGTCTTAACATTGAGATCAAACAATGGTTTTGGAGGTGCATGGGAGCAAGAAACTCTGGGTTTTGCTCCCTGCTATATATTGTTAAAAAGCAGAACCTGCGAATCCACTTGTACAAGGAAGCGCAATCCTTTCACTAGACTCTTTTGCTCACTGACTTGCTAGTTTTACAAACTGTGTGATTCTGACCTAACAGTGGTGTGGGTTAGATTCTGTGCAAGTTTGCCTCACTTTTTAGAGAAGCGCATCAAGCAAGAAGACAAGCGTTGCTGTCTTTCGCCTTTGCGTGTTTCTGAGCTTTGTGATGCATGATCTGAGCACAGGTACTAGAATGATTGTAAAAGAGTAGGATCACTTAATTTGAGACGTCAGATGAGTAATGTCTTACGGTTTCTCGTACCTGCTAAGCACACACAATGGAATTTCTAATTTTGCTGGCAATGCTGATTTTATTTTAGATTTATCATTTTTAAATACTGACTGCTGTACATTTAGAATATAATTAAATGTTACTTTTATGAACAGCGTATCTGATGCTTCATGCACTTTTGTATTATGTTGATTTTATAAGCTGGATTCTAGATCTGTACTGCGTGGAGAGGAAAGGAAGATCTGAGAAAGCTCATTTTCTAGAATCAGTTGGTGCTTTTGCCACAGTAATTCATCTAGTCTGCTCAGAATCACCTGGGACTTAACCTCCATGCTTTAAACATATAACTGTTTAATGGATATGTAGTTGAAATAAAATTTAAATGTGTAACTGTTCTAGAAATTAAAATCTTTATAATTTTTAAGGAAGCACCTCTGTGTTTGTCATGCCATAGAATAATGTGACTCACATTTTTTACTTTTGTTATGGTCAAAATTATTTTTCTTCAGTTACAACTGTTTATAGTATGTTTTCTTAAACAAGGGGCTAGGGTAGTCTCTTATTTCAGATATACTTAGTTATTTCAGTAAACATGGCTTTGCATTTTGCGGGTGAGGGAGAACAGGAAATAAAATCAATCTTTGAGGGAATCATAGAATTGTTTAGGTTGGAAGGGAACTTCAAGATTGAGTCTAACCATTAACCTAGCACTGCCAAGACCGCCACTAAACCATGTCCCTAATCACCACATCTACGTGTCTTTTAGATACCTCCAGGGATGGTGGCTCTACCTCTTCCCTGGGCAGCCTATTCCAATGCTTG